ACCCCGGCTCCTACTTCAGCCAACTTGAACGTTACCTACCAAGTCAAGGAGATATTGTTCATTTACCTTTTCAACTATTCATTCAATAATTACTATTGAAAACCTTCCTGCTTTAGGGGTTACAAAGAAAGCCATGATCTTGGAACATCTAGTCCCTACTCCCATGGAGCGTATATCCTCAAAGTCCCTTTATCGTCCAACAGCAACACAAGGCAGATAGAGTATCATTCATACAATCACGTATATTGGAAAGAAAAATAACATTTGTCAAGGAGATGAAGAGTGATGGGTAAGTGTGTGTGTGTTTGTGTGAGTGTACAATCGGGAAGTGTCATGCAACTGTAGGTAGAAAAGTTACAGAGGGATTCTGATCAGGTGGCATTTGAGCAGAAACCTGAAGGAAACAAAGGTGTGGCCCATGCAGATATCTTAGGACAGAGCCCTTCTGGCAATGAGAAATGTAAAGATTCTACTGCCAGGTTTCCTTGGCCTGCTGAAGACACAGGACAGCAGTGTAGAAAGTGCAAACCGAAGGGCGGGGAAGAGCTTAGAGATTATGGTAGGCAAGATCATGGGGAGCCGTAATGTCCTGGTAACAGTACAGAATTCACTTATTTACATATATTCAGGGCCAGATAGTAATTTACCTAACATGCCACAAAACTTACCACCTCTTCTAGTAGCACTTTTAATGGAATGTCTCCCTGTACTTCTAATAGTCACCTAAAGTATCTTAATTTTTCCTTGCAAAATTTCTTTTTTCTACGCAGGAAAAAAAAAATCAATTCATTGGTATCATGACTATCCAAGAATGTGGTTTCCCAAGAGGCTAATAAATGGCAAAACTGCTAAATTGTGGTTACAAAAACAAGTTGTTCTTCTGTGTGCTTCCTGAAAAGAACTTCAGGACCCTACGACAATATGCTGGTGAAAAGGAGGTAAAGAAAAGCAGCTGAGAACTGATGCCCAGCAGAAAAATTCCAAAGTTGAGATGTCCCTGAAATGAGGCCAAATAGCTCATAAAGCTCTCATGTTCCTGTCTTGTCCTCTGGTGCCCTAGAGACAAGAGTGAGAAAATATCTGAGAAGAAATGCATTCCCCTGGGTAAGAGGTCTAGCGTGGGCTTTGCTATTTGAACACACATAAGTCTGTGTGTTTTTCACTGATGTTTATTTGTGTGACTTAAGAAAAAACATTTAGAAATTTTACACATAAGGCATTCAACATGCGGTGTTATAAAAGAAAACAATGTTTCATGTTGTGTGAAATTACATATAACTGGGATAACTATATATTTTCACATTTCCCAGGGCAATGTTGGCTTACTCTTACTCTTTATTCTAGCCAAAGTACTAATAGCACTGCCTTTAAATCTCAAAAATGGCCCTCATTGGACAATAAATTATATAGTCACCTACTGTAGTTCATGTTCGAAAGGACTAAAATAAAAAAGTCTTTGCATACTCAATACTAATTAGAATTATTTCATTTTGCAAAATATTTTTTTTTCTTTTTGGTTTTTTTTCTGGTACCAGGGATCGAACTCATGACCTTGAGCTTGCCGGGCAGGCACTGTGCCACTGAGCTAAATCCCCAGCCCTTTGCAAAATATTTTAATTAGAACACCTGTTAAATAAGAGGTTGAAAGCAAACTTAATAAGGCCAAAAATCAAAATGAGGTATAAAGAAAATGACAAGATGATAGAAAGAAAGCCTGTCCCATTGCTATCATTTATTTTTAAATAACTAAAATGCTCTTTTAAAACCAAGTACATATTTCTTCAGCATCAGGATAACTTTAGAACGTTAAAATTGTTATTAAATATTACAAAATGCTGCTCATGTGAGATCAGTCACCAGGTGCAAAGCTAGAATTAAGAAGACAAAAGATGAAGCCCTTTGTAAAAGGAACTTGTACTCAGCAAGAGGAAGCACTCCCACAGATACATGCAAACAAACCCTGATGCTGCGTTGTAAAGGCAGTGATAGGGAGGATGCAGGGCACCCAGGGAAGCGTGGAGAGGGAATGAGGACAGGGAGCAGGAAGGGACTCAGGAGGCCCTTAGGGAAATTTTGAGGAAAAGGTGATGACTGCCCTGGACTGTATCAAATGAGAAGGAAAGGCAAGTGAAGTCAGGAGGAACAGGGAAACATCCTAGACAAAAGCGCTCCATGTGCAAATGCCCAAGGCATGAAAAACCTCTGAGGGTAGCGTGATCACTGAGGTCGGCTGTGGTGAGAAATGTAACAGACGTAGCCGGAGAAGTCTTCAGAGATCAGACGGCAGAGCTAAATACAACTCTCACTGATATTAACTATTTTCTCTTTCCATCCTGCTCTCTCCACCATGGTGTAATGTTGGAAGAAGTAACAGGAGGACCCCGCATTAGTAGCAAGTCCCAGTCATATTGGTGGCTAAGTAGACACTAAATTTCAAACTGCCTCTGGGCATTTCTATTAATTTCCCAATGGCTTAAAATCTAAAGAAAGTCTGAGGAGCTGGTCAGTAACACATTTGTGAATATCAGCAAGGGCCAGAAAGGGTCATAGAAGTGAAATGCCAGCATAGTCTGAATGGAGAGATGCAGAGTCAGAGATCTCAAAGAACAGCAGCTATTGGGTACTGAGCAGATCTCTCATAGAACTGAAGTCTTCCACACCGAATTCACCTCTGTAGAAAACAAAGATCTATACCAGGTTGTAAAGAGCCTAACGAATGCATGATAGGGATCAGAAATTGATGGCAACAGTGGATATAAGGGAAAAGAGCAGAGTTGCTGGCACCATCTGGCCCTTACTGGAAGATTTTTTTCAGGGAGGTGATGGAATCACAGTTGGAATCCACAACGCAAAAGGAGGCAAATGTAATGTCTGATTCTGGACCTTAAATTTTTCAGGTTTGAGCCAGGCATGGTGGCAGACGCCTGTAACCCCAGCACTCGGGAGGTTGAGGCAGGAGGATTGCTGCGAGTTCGAGACCAGCCTGGGCTACAAAGTGAGCTCAAGGCCAGCCTGAACTGCATAGCGAGACCCTGTCTCAAAAAGACAAAAAAAAGAAAAGTTTTTCAGGTTTGGACCAATAAATATCCTGCAATGAAAAAATACTACAAGGTAAACAATAACCTCACGGAGAAGGCTAAGTTTTACTTTATTTAAGGTGGAGTAGAAAATGTTTTGAGAAAACAGTAAAAATATACAGGAGGTTGTTCCCGAGAGTGTAACGGAAAGGAAGGTCCCAAGGGAAGGGAGCAAGGGTAGAAGCCACAATATCTGTGAGCAAGCTGTCTTATCCCATGCCGACCTCTGGCTTTCCAGTAAGCCGGATGAAATGGGAAGTGATAAAAAAAATGATTCATACATACCATAAACTCTTTATATAACTTAAAACATAAATGTACACACATGTGTCGATCTTTTGATGTAAGGCCAGGGCTTGTTCTCTGCATATGGATCCGCTGATTAGAGTTATGCATCTTCTGTCTTACAAAAACCACATCCTCCATCTATTTTCAGTATTGCTTAATTTAAAGTGGAAAGAGAACCTGGACAGGCTTGTGAAATAATGCGAATGCAGGACCTATTTAGATTGTTATAACCCATGCCCCGCCCAGTACTTTTTTCTTCCTCATGTGCTTTCCTTTCCCTGTCCCTCAGCAACTTATCCTTGCTTTTCTTGTTTTGGGAAAGAGAGGCAAGAAGTTAGAGAACTAGGCAGGATAGTAGGAAGAGCTCTAGAGAAGGGTCCGAAGCTCTGGAGTGTTACTGTTCTTGTAGCACTCACATCGAGGAACTGAGCCTGCTTCCTACCTTTATTATCTACGCTTTTCCTTCAACCAAGCTTTTCCTCCATTTAAGCAGGGCCCAGTATTAACATTCATTCTTGTTCAGTCTTTTTCTTCCAACTGGATTTACAAGGAGCTATTCCCAGTAACCATATATAAAAACATGGGGAACAAAACTAAAAATCAGAAGTATATGTACTTTCAATAAATAGTACCAGTGTCAACCCCGGTCAGTAGGGTTAGGGCTACTCTATCCTAAACACATCACTAATTTCTTCCATTTTCCAATACAAGGCATTCCTTTCATGTTCCTAGGAATTCAGCACAAATTTTCTGTATTCCTCAGTAAGGAGTCCCCACAATTGGGAAGTCTCTCCCCCACTGCTTTCCAGCACAGATTAAACAGAGAGTCAGAGCAGAGGATATTAGTTGTTGCTAAAATGCTGATTTACAGACTGGCCAGCATCTACTGAGCACTTCCTATGGTTAATCAATCTGTCCAGTGCCTGTACATTTTGGGCATCATCTTGACTAGTGATCACTGAGGTGGTGTCATCATCCTAAACTCATTTCACAGATAAACCAGCAACACCAATAGGATTCAGTATAATGCCTGGGGTCACACACAAAGTGTAAAACCCACAATTTGAATCTAGGCAACTGGGCCTCAGAAGCCATGTCTTTACCCTCTCTACTACACTGTCTCTTAGAATGCTCAGGCTCAAATGAAATTATTTATAATAGAAGAATTTTCTTATTGATGTACTCGATAGTAATGATTCCCTTTACCTACCAATTACCCTCATCCACACATGTACAGAGAAAAAATTCGCTTATGGTGTACATCTAATTGTTCAACATGATGTTTATCTAATAAGGCAGCAAGAAAACAAGCTGACTAAAACACGCATATTTGAATGGGATGACAAAGGGCAATATATCTGCTCATCAGAAAAGCAATTCCCGTGCTGGAGAGAGAGCTCAGCGGCACAAGCACTGCATGCAAGGGTCTTGAGTTTGATTCCCAGTACAAAAAAAAAAAAAAAAAGAAAGAAAGAAAAGCAATTCCCATTCAGTACATGTAATAATCTGTCCCCTTGGACAAACATACAACATCTATAACAAAGTGGGAGGTAGAGAATAAGACTCATGAAAGGGGATAGGAAAAGTGAGAAAAACCAAGTAGTCACTTGCTAAAAAATGAAATAATTTGCTTACTTTTTTGGTACACTTCTTGACAGTGTTGATTAATTCTTGCATTACCAAATCTACACTCTTCAAGGAAGGCCCTTTCAGCTTTACAATCTGTTTCTTGACTATTGCTTCAAATGCCATGTCTGGTGTAAACAATCCTGTCCTGAATGTGAGAGAGAAAGCAACTTGTTACATTTAGACAATTGAGTAGTATCCAGTAATCATTAGAAAATGTTTAAATTGGCATGCCTTTTAAATTAAGCATATAACATACCAAGGTTTCAAAGCTATGTACTGTAGTAATTGGTTCTATTCACAGTACCACTATAATATAGTTTATTTGTTTTGTGGTACTGGGGGTTGAAACCAGGGCCTTCACACTGAGCTACATCCAGTTCTTTCATTTTTTTAAAAAATTTAGGACAAGGTCTGTCTATGTTGCCCAGGTTGGCCTCAAATTCATGATCCTCCTGCCTCAGCTCCTTGAGTAACTGGGATTACAAACATGTACCGCCAACAGCCTGGCATAATAATATATCTAATAGTGTTAAACCATAATAAGTTCCCCATCTCCATGGGGAAATTAACATAACCTGGAAACAATGCCCATGAGCTGGGAATGTAGCTCAGTGATGGAGCACTGGAATAGCACGGGGGACGCCCTGGGTTCAATTCCCCAGCACCACAAAAAATAAAACCAATCATAAAAACAAAACAAAAACAGTCCCTAGTACATTTTCATAACTTATAATGTGATTTTTAACTAATACTTAACTGTAATTTGTCTCATCTCACAGCTTCAAAGCAATAAAAGGATTGCAGCCAGTTCAGCATGTCAGCAGCTTCCCTGTCTGTAGATTCAACCAACTACTGACTGAAAATATGCAGGGAAAAAAGTGCATCTGTACTGAATGTGTACAGATGTTTTTCTTGTCATTATTGTCTAAACAATATAGTATAACCAGTATTTACAAAGCACTTACATGGAATACTTTTACTATGACAAGATGACTATGAACTAAATTATGAATTTATAAAAATAATGAACGATAGTCAAAATAACACATATCTTCCTATTCACTAGAATTAATTCAAATTGGTGTCATAATAATGCTTTTATCATGCTGAGCAAGAACTCTGGGAAGCAGATATATTAAGTGTGGGATGGGGGTTTCATAAAAAGTGAAAAATCCTTACCCAAGAGTAAACAAAGGGTCAAAAGAGAAGATCTACAGAAGAGGCCCTCCACTTCACGCACTGCAGACCCTCATTCTTCCTGGTATTGGCCATGCCCAAGGACTGCTAGGTTGGAGGATTTACCACTTGATCCTTCCTGATCCTAAGGCTCTCTCCTCCCCTTTTCACTCCCTTACGTCACTTCCTCCAACTGCTCCATTCATGGGACTTCTTTTGGGAAATTTCTTTTTGGGAAACTTCCCTTCCACCACTTTTACTCAACATCCCTTCTTGTCACTTACTAAGCATCCTAGACTCCTCTGTCTTTCACTAAAACAATCAGACTATAATTGTCATTTCTCCACTTTGGGTACAGAATAACATTCAAATTGTCTCCCCTGTCTGACCTTAATGGGCTAAATGATTATCCCATTAGTATGTCCCATACTCAAGGCATTGTACAATTCTTATCATCGCACAGGTTAATTAACCTTGGAATGCTTACAACAACCAAACTCTTCTGTTGGTATGCATACAAATCAGAAATCCACAATTCTGAATTCCTGGGCAGTTATCTTCAGCAAAATGTTTATCTGGTAAGCAGAGTAAAAGAATTCTGGTTGAGCTAAAGTATTTTATGACCCCCTCCAAAAAATGTGGCTTGGTGCCACTGCATTTGTCAGATAGAGTTGTACAAATACCAGGTCTGCCCAGATAAAGAGCAAGATAGCATCTCTACCAGATTTGATTTTGTACTTCAGATTCTGATGGAGAGGAACTCCAGTAAGAAACTTAGAAATCCTGTTGACAGTAAGACAAAATTATTGGATTTGATTTTAGATATTTTCCCCCTTTCAATTTGTAAACTCATATTTACACATAGTATTTGAGGCTTGGGAGCAAATTGTCTAAATTTGTAAATGACTGATAATTCTATCATAATTCCTCTGGAAAATTACCTGTCATATGCACACTCAGTGTCAAGCTTTGCCCTCTTAGAGTCTGATCCCAACATGGTCTTAATTTGGCCCTGTGACAGTAATTGAACTACAGCTGACTACAGACAGGGCACATGCCTTTCATAAGAGGAAGTTCATCAACTAAGTTGCTATACCTGGAATTTAGGTCACTTCTAATTAGTATATGCTCCCTGAATTATGTTTAGCCATCTGTAAAAGAACTCAAAAGAAAAGTTTTTTAAAGTAATTTTTATGATAGTTCTTTAAAGAAAGTACTCTGGACTGAATTATGTATTCTCCCTAAAATTCATGTGCTGGAATTCTATCTAACATGATGGTTAAAATGCTGGGACTTCTGGAAGAGCATTAGGTCATAAGGGTGGAGCCCTCATGAGTGGGATCTGTGCCTTTCTAAGAAGAGGAACAGAACTAACTAGTTCTCTGTCTGCCATGTGAGGATACAGTGAGAAGTCAGCAGTCTACAAGCTGAACGGGTTCTCACCAGAACTCAACCATTTTGGCAACCTGATTTGGCCTGCCAACCTCCAGAACTGGGAAGGATAAACTTTTGCTGTTTATAAATCACCCATACTATGGTAATTTGTTATAGCATCCTGAAAAGACTAAGATACAAAACAACTTAGAAAACTCTCATGCGAAACAACAGGAAAAGGGGCTGGGGATTTAGCTCAGTGGCAAAGCGCCTGCCTGGCAAGCGCAAGGTCGTGAGTTCGGTTCCCGGTACCGGAGAAAAACCAAAAAAAAAAAAGAAACAACAGGAAAGTGAGGCACATGCTTGCCCAAGCCCACCCTCCTAGCTCATGTCCCTCCTCTCCTACCCACATTCCTCATACCAAACAAAATGCAGAGCCCCAGCTCCACAAATACCTGCTGCACATTCCCAGCACTGCACCTCAACTCACTTTTCTTGCGTTCTCCAACCTCAACAACCTCAATTTTATTCCCCACCTTCTTACAACTCCTTGCATCTTCACCCACTCATGCGCATGCATACACACACAAACACAAGATGTGTGGGCTTGTTGAACTCATCCTCTAAAAAGGCAAGCTGCAATTCAAAAGCAACCTTCACTACTCTTTCCCAATCTTGCTCCACAACTCCAGTCAAAATTAATCTGTCCCTTCTCTGTGTAAATAATGATTTTTTATGAGCATGTCAGTCCTCTCATTAAATTATAAAGCTTTGGAGAACAGGGTTTTGCTTGTCTTTGAATCTCTCATTGTATAGGTTATGAGTGCAGAGAGCATTCTGGGGTGTTTTTTTTTGTTTTATTTTGTTTTGTTTTGTTTTTCACGAAAAAAAGAAACTATGATAATATAGGAAATTACCACTAAGCCCAAACTAAGATTTCCTGTATCTGACTCCTGCCTCTTCCTCTACTCTATTCAAAAGATGAAAAGGAGACTTCACTAGCCATTTATAAACATTCATTTTCCTATGGTAGCTTGGACTGAAAACAAGAAAATGTGAATCACTTGCCTGATACCATGTATGTTTTTGATTGCATAGCTTATTTCTCTTCGCAATTCTTTCTCATTGAACTCCATCTGCAAATGCAAAATGAGCCATGGTTATGACACTTAAGTCCTTTGAATAGTAATATTGTTGAATATTACAGAATGAGAGTAACTTGACTCAGTTATTAATAAATGGATACTCATGTCTCTCCTAAGCTAAAACCAGATGGTCAAAACATCTGTTTATATAAAGTTCAAGGCAACATGGAGCACTAGGGATTTCTGGGAATTTTAGAGGAACAGATTTTAACTCTAATATGTATAAGAAGGGTTGTGCATAAAGAATTCCTTCTGGACATAAATCTAGCCATTCACGTGAGGTATAGAATTATTGCTTTGCTGAATACAGTAAATTTGAGGTGGATGCATAAATGTCGGTGTCAGCTGGTGTGCAACAGCAGTATAGCTGTCCTGAGAGTAACAGTCGCTTTGTTTTCTCCCTGGCCATTTTAACCACCTGAATTCAAGGCCACTTTATAAAAGGAAATTAGTAATAGTCCATCAAGCCAACATGGGGTAGATTACTGTATAAATAGTTCCCAGAAGTCCTAGGTACCATAAACCTACTTGGAAATAGGATCAGAGTGTAGTGGAGCAGCGTTCTGGAAGGGACATCCAGAGAACAGTGGGTTCTTTTCTGACTCGGATCCAGCTTCCTGCCTTCTGTCTCTCTGTTTCCTTTCTTCCTTGGTCCTCCAGAACATCGACTTGTCTTAGGTCTCTACCCACACATTGTGGCTTCACAGCTCAGCTCCTTAATCATTCCTCCCTTGCTATCAGAACCACCCCCCTCACCTCTTAGTGCTTCGCCAGCCACCATTTTTCCAAACTCAGCCCAGCAGCCTGGCTCCCTTCAGCACTTGGCCTGAGATTCATGTTTGTGGGCTGTGTTTCCATAGCACCCTGCATCGAAGTTTATCACTTTACTTAGCACATTTTAATAAAACTATCAATTTACCCATCTGCTTCCCACACCATGACATAAGCCTCCACCTCTTTGTATGTGAGGCAAATAGCAGAGTCTAAAACTGCTTAACAGCCTTACAGGGCATTCATACTTAGCAAGCCCAGAGCAGAACTCTCAATTCACACCTCCGTATCAACACAGCTTTTCCTCATTTTCCCTCATCTGATGGGTACCACCACACAGCTGTGAAAATCAAAACCTTGGGAATCATCTAGAATCTTCTCTGTTTTCCAACCCCCATATCCAAAAATCCCATCTCATTCACCTACCTCCATTCTCTCTCAGGTGGTTATTTTTGTTTACTGGGAAGCTAGTGAAATTCGTGTTTCAGAGTTTCTCCCTGGAAAAGACCTCTTCCAAGACCCTGGGCCTATGTTTATAATTTTATATTCTTTATCTTAAAGGGAGCTACCAAGACTGAAGAAGCTTTAGGCCTCCATAAAGTGATCCCACTTCTGGTCTGGCCTCACTGTTTTCCTTGCCTTCCCTGTCTCTTGCCCCTTTACAATCTAGCACAGTGTTCAGGATCATCAAGCAAATTAGGTCACATCCGTGCTTAAACCTCCCTGCAAACTGCCCATTGTTTGATGTGAACATATCATTCTAACCCAGAGACTCTAACCCTTGTGATCTAGACACCTCCTTCCTCTCTCTGAATTCACTGTCCTCCTCTTCCTCATCACTCTGCTACAGGCACATCCATGCTTCACCTTTCTTATCACTTGCTGTGTTAGGGCTTCACCTAAGGTGCTCCTCCTTTGCATAAGTCTCTTCCCCCAGATCTTTCCATGGCTGACCACTCGTGCTGTTCTGTCATGATTTCAGGGTCCCTTGCTCAGACATCACTTGCCTAAACATTTCATTAAAAGTGGCTTTCACCTCATATTATACTAGTACTACTTTTGCTCATGTTGTCTGTTAATTTCCCATCTTTCCCCACTAGACAAATTAAGAGTTCTAGTTTGATCACTGGCACCACCTCTGTTTTGAACTTTGACACATGGTAGGTGCTCAAAAATATTTCTAAATTAATTAGACAATACATAAACATTACAGAAAACTCAGCATTACTTTAAATGATTGGAAGTATTGTTAAATCTCATTAGATAAAATCAGAAATGAAAAGATTTCTCTCCTGAATTTCATTACCCAAGTTTAAAGGTTTTTTGTTCAAAGCACTCTCTAGTCCCACACCACTCACATAATATTATATCAAGGGATTTGTAAAACAAAGAATATGAAAACAAAGTAGAATGAAAGAGGCAAAAATGACATTCAGTACAGACCTTCACTATTTCAAAAGGAAAGCGTTCGTGGAAAATGCGATTGATTTTAGCACCACCTGAGAGCTCCAGAGTATCTACTTGATCCCCTGACCCTTCGATTCTCTTCTCAAAGTCCACAGCAAATTGCTGAACCATCCTATGGTGTGAAAGAGAAATTCAAGTTAACGTTGCATAGCTTTGCGTTCCTCATTTTATTTGTCCATGATTATTCCTTGAAATCCTTTTCGAGTGTTCTTAGTGGCACCTACTGGTAGAGCTAACACTGTACCTTGTTCAGCTCCCTAAATTTCATTATGTGAAATGCCCAGTTAAGATTCTAGACATATAACAAGTGTAAATATTGTAAATATCTTTGTCTTTAAATGAATTTTGAGCCAGGCAGGGGGGTGCACACCTGTAGTCGCAGCACTTAGGAGGGTGAGGGTGAGGCAGCAGGACTGCTAGGAGTCTGAGACCAGCCAGGGTTACCTAGTGAGTTGAAGGCCAGCCTGAACTACATAGAGACCCTGTCTCAAGAAAAAAAGAAAGAAGAAAAGAATTCTGACTATTTAGTTACAACTATGAAATGCTATTTAAAGAATACCTGAATGAAAACTTAAAGTTATATCATAAAATTTAAATTAGTCACATGCACTTCCACTCCTGTGACATCACAGTTTCCCAGTGTCCCATCTGCTCCAGTTGAAACCTCCTACTTCAGGAGCCACTCAGTACCGCAGGCTCTGTCTCTCCTGCTTGTCCTAAATGCTTGTCCTAGGTGATCTCAAAGAAGGCCACAGCTTCCAGGATTATCAAGAAGGCACAGCTTCTCCAGACCTTCATTTCTAGCTGTTAGTTTTGGGGAGTGATTGGCCTAGCTGTCTACCAGAGTTTTATTTTCTCTTAGCTGCATTGAGCTCAGCATATCTGAAACATGAACTGATTCACTTCTCTCATTCCCAAGACAGCTAATTCTGCATTCCCAAATTTCTCCTCGTGATAGATGGCACCATCCTCCCGAGCAGGGACTCAGGGCCTCCCTGCGCACCTCATTTTTACCTCATCCCATATTTCACTCCACTTCTTTCCATGCCTCAGACAAGGACACTTCTGCTTCACCCCGCGACTTGGCTGTGCTCTGTCCCTAAGCACCTCCTGCGAATGTTTTAAAACACCAGTATAGTATAATAGAGCAGATGCCTGAAACACTGGAAAATTTAGAGAACTTATATCTAGCTACTCTTTCCCCTGTACTCTGCGTATCACCTGGCCCACCCAATGACCTGAGAAACAGCTGCACTAAAATTCACACTGTTCTCCTAGCCTCCTCCTTCCTCCTGACACACTCCCCTTCTACTTCCCTTCTCAAACGCCATTTTCTTGGTTCATTCACACCATTCTTCACACATCACTACTTCCTTGTATGGGCTCCTAATGCCTTATATTTACCAGAAATAGTACTTACCAGATGCTGAAATAACTAATTGCTCATATTCCCAGACTCTACTCTGACTTTCGAAGACAAAAATTTTATGTACTACTGAACCTTTGACAATATCCTAGGACTTGTCTTGTCCTTGGGTTAGGAGATTTCTCTCTGGGTTGTGAGAGACTATGAGTAGAGTGCTTGAAGAGACTGGAGGAAGAAAAGAGGCAGGAGCAGAGAAACAGAACAGAAAGGATAGGGCCCGAGAACAGAGCTGAATCAGCTCTTTTCAAGCCAACAATCTAACTGTGAAAAATGTTGTAATCTGAGTCCCATGAAGTCACAGAGGCAAAACTGTCTTTGCATTCCAATTTCTGTGGATCTTACGATAACAACCTAGGGCCTGGAGAGAAATAGCTTTCCTTTCTCTGTAACTTGAAGAGTTTCTACAAGAGCTTAACTGAAACCAAGGGAACTGGGAAAAAATCACATCTAAGAGAAATTTTTACCTTAGTATGAGCTGATAATTTTTCAATGAAGAAATATAAGGTGATTCATTTAAGATGTCACTTAAAAGGATTATGGCACCATAGGAAGTATCAAATATCATTTTTAGGGAGACACCTCAGGCAGGGGTCTTTCAGTTCAGAGGGACCTGATGGAAGTGGCAGCTCAGGGATAAAGGGACAGATGAACCCAAAGAGGATCCAGGGAGAGAACAAAGGGAGAAGACACAAGGTGCTGGTAACTCTCTAACAACTCGACCACCCCAGCACAACCCAGAGAAAAATCTCCTAACCCAAGGACAAGACAAGAGGTGCAGGAGTAAGAGATGCTTGGCAGTTTTCACGTCTGTGCTTTAAAAGAGCTCCATTAAGATAGTTACCAAAACAGAAAAAGAAACATAAATGTGGCCTTATTGTCTGTACTCCCACGGGAAAAATGCACATAGATAAGTCACATGAAATAGTTGAAATAAAAAGATAATAAGGACAAGGAACATCTTTCAAAACATTGATAAAATTCAGATGAGGTTTTTGTCTATATTTACTCACTTCTAAAACTAAGGACAGGGGCTGGGGATTTAGCTCAGCGGCAAAAGCGCCTGCCTGGCAAGCGCAAGGTCATGAGTTCGGTTCCCGGTACCGGAGAAAAACCAAAAAACAAAACCAACAATAAAACTAAGGACAAAAATAACCTTGCTGATCACTATGAGTTTTACTAAGTCCAATTTAACACAATTCAGTTGGGCATGAGACTAGGTAATAGGTTAAGTTAATAACCAAATAAGAGCAAAACATCATTCTGTAATACAGTATAAAAATTCACAGAGAAATCCCCATTTCCTTGCTGCTTTTTTTATCAAGCCTAGCTGGGGATATAGCTCAGTAGTACAAATTCCTGCTTAGCCAGTGCAAGGTCCTGAGTTCGATTCCCAGTACCACACACACAAAAAAGAATTATCAAGCCTAGAAAGCAACCTGACAAATAGGCTAACACAAAAGCAAACTGGAGAAATCGGTTTAAGGTGAAAGGAGGCAGAGAAAGGTAACCTACTGCAGGAGGGCTTTGGTCTTCCTGGTGGGGTCTTCTGGTTTGAAGTTTTTGTAAGCTTCTACTTCATGTTCTATGGACAGCAACTGCCCCTGCAGTTTGTTCCTGAAGTTGGGCAAGGTATCTCGAATGTGGTTGGTGAGTTGCTAAAGAAAACAAAAGAAAATGGTACAGTAGATGAAAGATGAACTCATGAGACAAAAATCAGCCCTCACTGTTTTTCTAATCATTTACAATCTTAGATCTATAGAGACATAAATATAAATAGAGATAGGTTAAGGAGGTTAGGTAAGTAATAAGAAGCCCCATCTCTTTTCACTACCCTTTGGAGTTGCTCAAAATTCCTTCAATTAGATAACTCACTTGATGTTGGAGACCACTACAAAGTGGCTCTGAGCAGGATTTAATAGTAACCAATTAGCTCTCTGTATTCACTTGTGAATCTGTCCAAGGCCTAGGCTCCTTATCTGGAAATGGTTGACTCATAGTAAGCCTCTGTGAGTCGCTAAACCTGTAGTGGTGGATGAAACTAGAAAGCCTCAAAGGACAAGACAAGATTACAGCCAAGGACACCTGGTCAGATCTCAACCAGATGAAGACTATAGCCTCAGGCATCTCATTCTTCAGTGGATTAACTTCATACCTTACTTAGAGAAGTCCTTGAGTGGTTCTGCCCTTCTTGAGTGCTCTCCTCCCTTTTTCTGATAACCACATAAATATGGGCAACCCGGAGAAGGTCACGGTCTTAGCCCAGAGAGAACCTTGAACTATGTGAGAGGGCTTTGATCCTCCTGGGGCCCTGAAATCACTCCATTTACCTCTTTTTATTTAGCCTTTGCTGTACAGTGATCAGCCTGCAATAACTAAGGATATTGTTAACTCCATAACTTGAATTATGTCTTTATGTGTTGGAAGACACTGTTAAAATGCAGCTAATGTCATCGTGAAGCTGCCCAATAGCACTGCAGCATGGATTGGCTTATTAGATCACCTACCACATAGAAAGTAACCTTAAGTTAAATGTGTCAGGAATGAAGGAAGCCCAAAGTTGTAGGTGTTGTCTGATGTTTTTGAGGGCAAACGGATTACCCCATTTATGGATCTCAGGTAGTCAAAGATGCCACTGGCACCCACTATTAATTTTCTCTGCCCCTTGAAATTCAGCCAGGTGCTTCCTCTTTGCTCCACCTCAGGCCTCAGTCCAACACTGGCTAGTCACTCCTTCTGCCTTCAGGGAGATCAACCTAAAACTTCCATGACCAAGAAAGGGAAGCTTTCTCTGCTACTGACATCTCTACCTGGCCATGTGCTTGTCATTTCCTCTGAGGTCCCAGGTATCCTGAGCTCAATATAATGAAAACTTCTCTACAATACCACCTAACAGTATGTGATTCATTAAAAACCAAACTCAGTATAACCCCAGATTGCTCAGCTTTCTGCCATATATTCTCAGCTCTCTGCCATATATTCTCTATAATTTGAAGAAAAATCTGAATTAAAAGAAAAAAAAGGTAATTTTCCTAACATGCTTGGGTAATAAAATGAGAATGAGGAGAAACATATAACATAAACTTCATAGAAATACAAGAGAAAGAAAAATAATTTGAAAGAACATATCCAGACTGACAAGAAATTATTTTAGATCATCTTTATGTGTATCTGAAGTTACCTCAATAAATCTACTCAACAAATTTATAGTTAAGTAACTATCAATAGTTCTTGACTATAGTACACCCCCTGCCTATAAGTGGGATTTGTTGTGTTCATACCCAAGCATGTGTTGTTCTTGTAACTATCAGAGCAGAAAACAATAGAATGGAGCAGAATACATTCCTAGTAGCAGTGTCACAAGAGGTAAGGGCCCAAATCCAAAATAATAGCACACCTGAAATCCTAGAAAATTGCCCTGTGAGCTGGTATAAAAGTACTTGGTTTCCATTTTCTGCTTCTCATATATCTCAACAGTGAAGGAAATTGTGGCCCCTTCCAGGCTTTCTAAACTACTTCTTTCCTTGGTTTTCATAACCCCAGCTCCTCTACTTTTCCTTCTAGCCATTCTAGACATAACCTTCTCCATCTCCTTTGATAGTTCATTATCCTCACCGGACTGGCAATATTGAGATTTCTCAAACATGGTATTAGGCCTCTTTGTTTACTCCCTGTTCTCTCTTAAGGTAATCTCATCCCATCCAGGGCTTCAGTGAACATCCAAACCCATGGCCTCTAAAACATTAATTCCAAACAGGACTTCTTATCTCTCCTCTGGGCTTATATAATTGACCACTTTCTTGACTCCTCCTCTTAAATGTGTCAATGACATCTCAGCCTCAATGCGTCCTAGCTTCAATAAATAATTGCTATGGTTTGGATCTGGTGCCCCCTTTCCCCCCAAAAGACCCACATTTTGAAGGCGTGGTTCCCAGCCTGTGGTGCTTTGGGAAAGTGGTGCAACCCTAAGAGGCAGAGCCTAAAGGAAGAAAATAAGGTCACCTAGGACATGATTTTAACAGGAATACTATGACCCTGACCCCTTTTCTCTCATTTTACTCCTGACCACCATGAGCTGAGCAGACTTCTCAACCACCAGCTCCCATATATTGTGATATGCTGCCACAGGCTCAAAGCAACAGGGTAAAGGACGTCAAGCCATGGGGAGAGGGGGTGTGACTTTGAAGCGGGAATTGGGATCCTGTGTACTTCTCTCTTTCTTTGCTCCCTTCTCTAATATAAGCTCCCACCATGATAGTTTCCATGAGCGTAGGCCCAAAGCAACAGGGCCAAGGAACCACACACTGAAATCATGAGCCAGAATAAATCTCTCTTCTTTATAAGTTGTTTATTTTAGATATTTTGCCACAGACTTGAGATAGTTCAAGTATACTGCCACACTGTGCTATTCTGCCACCGTGACATTGATCTTCCCCTCAGGGTTCTGCATCTACTTCATAACGATTTGCGAACGTGGGATTTCCCGATCCATCAGCCACCCGCTCTAATGTACCACCAAGTTTTCAAGTCTCCTAAATATTTCTCGAATACACTGGGTTTTTTCACTTCCAATAGCAGTATCTGAGACCAAGCCATCATAACTTTTCTTATTATTCTTAATTGGTTTTCCCAGTTTTACTCCTAACGGGTCTACAGTTAATCTTCCTGTGTGTTATACCACAGTCTTTGTAAGCCACAGAGCTAATCATGTTATCCTTCTTCCCAGATCTCTGAAATGAATCCCTGCTACTAATCCTTAATTTGGCCTCCCAACCTTATACGACCCACCCACTGTCTACATCTCCATCTTCATCCTTACAACTCACCCCCTCTTCCTCTGCCTTCGAGGTATAATGGCATTTCTTTCATTTCCTCAAAAATGCAATGGCTTCTTCTAGTTTTTTCCATGGAAACTGTCCTTTAGGGTTAGAGGTATTGGTACACACTGAATCAGCAAGGAAAGTTTTTCCTAGTTTCAAACATAGTATGAAGACCTCAGACACAATAGTGATTATCCAGGAAAGAACAGGTACTCCATGCACAATTTATTCAATTTTCAGTCATCTACAACCCAGTTATGTCATAATTTAGTGATCACCTGTAATCAATAGTCAATCATTTCCTTCTTTCTAATCATATCAGTGATTTTTCTCTAAGATTTCTTAGATTATTTGTACTTTTCCTAGACCAATACAGGTGTTCAGGCAGAAATCTAAAAAGTTTCATCAGTCCTGATTATATTCGTAGAATATGTTGGTTCTTGGATGACAAACCGGTGTGCTACATCTCTAAAATATTTCATATTTTTAAAATGATACAACCAAGTGATGCCCATAGTTTGCAAATATTCTTTACCCTTAACTTAAAGGAACCCTTGTACACTGTAGGTGGGAACGTAAACTGGTACAACCACAATGGAAATCAGTATGGGGAATCTTCAAAACTAAAAGTAGAAATTCCATTTAACCTGGCTATATCGCTCCTAGGTATCTTCTTGAAAGTGTTAAAGTTATCATTTAAAGTAATATATTCCTGTCCTTAGTTTAAAAGTACAAGCTTATAGTAGCTTCTATTGTGCCACCCAAAATAGAAACATACCACTGCTTTTTAGTTTCTGAAGTGTCTCCAACTGTTTTCTCTAACTGGTGCAAATGCAGTATCATTTACTGTGACACCCTCTGCTGATACCTTTAAAGTGCTACATCAGGATGTTCTATAACTACCTGATCAATTGACTACTTTAAAAGACAGGAGTTAGAGCACAATTTATAATTTGTAAGGAAACCTGCTCACCAGATACAGTCAACTGTAACAAAAACTCAGGAAAAGAGCCTTGCACTCAATGACAATGACATCTGTCATGACACTTAACTCCAACACGGGAATGAATATGTGTCACCAAGTAAGCGTATTGAGGTTCTGTAGGGAAATTGTGTATGGTGCAAGGAGGGGAGTAGGCAGAAGGCCAATTCCAATTGTGTTTATTTTAGGGAAATGGGTTATTTTAGATTAGTGGAAATACATGATTGCTTTATCAGGATTCGTTGTTTTGAAGAGTATAAATTAAGAAAAAAAATCAGTCTTAAAACCATAAAAAATTTGTGATTGAAAGTCTAAGCTAATAATTACAGCTTGATATTTCAAAAACAGATGCCAAGATATCAAATTTTCAGAGCTACATACATTTAACTTCTTAAGATAACTACACATTGTGAGTGAGTGCATATTCCAGTGTATATTCCTGTTCATTGGTCCTACAGAAGTATATGTTTCTGCATTGAGCACTGTCATAAAAAACATTAAGGTGAATCCAATCCACTAAGAAGAGTAATAGTGTGGATCTAAGTATTCATATTCATTTTTCAAAATTCCTAGCATTTCAGCTGAATATAAATTTAAATTTAGGTAAATTTTGGAAATATAAATTTAAAAATAAGAAATATGAATTCCAGTAGTCAACAGATTTCATAACTGTTCTTGTTGCTTGAGACAATGTTTTTACCTGATTGAGGACCTTCTGCAGGTGTGGGGTGCCCATACGATCAGCAATATGTCTGTAAGCAGGATGGGAAAGGAAAAACTTCCTTTCTGCCAGCATGGCTGCTTTAATGTCCTTCTTCCCATCTATGTCCTTCTGGCTCCTGTTCACTACCCCTACGTAACCTGAAACAAAACAAAGGACTTTACATATCTTCAGTCACTTTTTCTAGAGAGATTTCAAGGCTCTTGAAGAGACCAAGTAAAAAACCAAAAATTAGCTTTAAAGCGTGTAGAGTGGATCATTTCATAAAACATAATCTGAGACATCTGTAGTTTAAAAAGACTGCTGACTTGGCTAAGGATAATTTTTGGAATTAAGAAGATAATGTTGCTCACTTTGAAAAGCTTTATGCATTTTAAGAAAGCATGTCTCTTTACCAGTTGTGTCATATAGCAGGCAAATAATTATCACACTTAAAACAGAATGGTATATATTTCTGTAGTGTACAATGAATATTTATAACCTCCCTTCCAGCCCTTTCCATTTCCTGTTTTTTTCTTAATTCCTGTTATTTTAAGAATAGTTCTCTTTTTAGATCATTTTAACACATCATTTGGGAATACTGTGCCATTCTATTGAAAGTTTAGCTAATAAATTCATTTCTCACAACAGAGGGTGCATTAAAAGCAAGTGGTTTCCCAGGTGTTTCTCTGCCACATTATCAAAGAAAACTCTGTATAGAGGACAGTACATTACCCCTGCGAAGAGGCAGCAGTTTATTCTCTAGAACATCCCTGGCATCTGTTCCTTCATCCATAAGATCTAATTTGGTGATCACTCCAATCGTTCTCAGACCTGCATCATAAACAAACAGAGCATCACAACATTTTCAGAAAACTAACAAATTTTAAAGATTATATATTTCAGTGCTGAAGGTAAAGCTCATATTCCCTATCCTTTTCCTTCTCTTTTCTATCTTACTTCGCTTCTAATCCACTGCCATCCAGTTCTGGGGAATTTCTACATGATAAAAAGGAGAGCTACAAGATCACCTATCCATAAAATAACTTCCCATCCAAGAAAGAAAAACAAATAACTATAGCACAAAATACTTTTAAATACAGTCAGGCATTGCTTAACCACAAACATATGTTTTGAGAAGTGTGTCATTGGTAGATTTCATCCCAATGCAAAACATCATATGGTGCGCTTGCGTGAAGTTACGTGGTATAGAACAATCTCTCAAAGTGGTGCCTTGATGGGAGAGACACAGCGAACACAAGATGTATGAGGCCGCTGCCAGTGTAAAACACCATACTGGCAGTATGCTGTTTCACAGTCAGTATTTTTTATAAATACAAGAAATAGACTCAAACCCAGTGCTCAATAGTGTGGTATAGGCTGGACACAGTGGCACACACTTGTAATCCCACTAGTTGAAAGGCTGAGGCAGAAGGATTGCAAATTGGAAAAGAGCCTGGGAAATTTGGTGAGATTCCATCTCAAAATTTAAAAATATCAAATGGGCTGAGAATATAGTTCAGTGGTAGTGTCCATGGGTACAATCCCTAGCACTGCAAAAATAATGCATTAATGAACAAACAAACCACTAACATTTATTATCATTAGTAACTATTATGTGTTGTACATAATTACATGTTACATTTTTACAGCTCTGGAAGTGCAGTAGGTTTGTTTATATCAGCATTCCCAAAGCACATAACCAAGGTACTGCACTACCGTGTTACGATGGCCGTGGTTTCATGGGCAATAGGAGTGTTTTGGCTCCATCGTGATCTTACTGGACTGCTGTCATATATACACACTGTGTACTGAACCAAAATCATTATGCAGCACCCAACTATGAGTTTATTTTTGAGCTCTACATGAATGGAAACTAACTTTCCTTTTAACTTTCCTCTCAAGTATTCCACCTAATATAGGTGCTTTATTTTTATATATTATATTATTAAAAGCAAATAAACAAACAAGTAGGTTGTGCATGAACCAATGATTACAGTTTGTCATAAGCCAAGGATTATTACAGATCTGGTTCTAAGTACTTAAAATGAACAAACAAATAAATCAGTTACAGGTTAGTGCCACCATCAAAAATAAGCTTACAGGTTCCGCAGTATTTGCTGTTGCTTAGAAAATGAAATATGATTTAATGAAAACTAAACCAGGAATTGTGAAGTTTGGCTTCTACCCTGAAGGCAAGCCATTCAACATTCTGAGTCTCAATTTTCTTCCTCTGAAAAACAAAGATTTAGAGACTGAACTCTAAGGTTCCTCCCAGTAAATGATATTGGAACCTAGACATTTTATGTAGCACTTTAAATATATGGTTTGTTTTGTTCGTGAAGTTGACAGTATTTGCTCGGCAGTTGATATTGTTAAATATTTCTGCGTGTGTCCAGTTAAACCTGGTTACTTGAAAATAGATTATATTTTGTTTGAAACTATTCCAAAATAATAATGGCTAATATCTATTAAGCCAGCTGCGGTTTTAAATGGTTAGTATATCTTAAATATTCTAACCCTAAAAAATAATACAGGTACAAATTTTTGAAGATCAAGAAACAAAGACACAGTGAACCTAAATTTCCCTAAATCTATAGTCATAGACAGGTGATGAGCCCGGTCACTCCAGGGCCCAAGTTTAGAACCAGTATGTTTCTCACAGTGAAAACAAAGAGACAAGCAAACCAAGAAGCTTAAACCAAGTATCAAAAATGAAAGAAAACCACAGGAAAAAAAAATTGAAAATAGAGGCCCAGAAGGATGAAGTCTAACTAACAGACCACAAAAAGTACAAAACTGAATTCAAGAAAATCAATAATATAAGAAGCCCGGAAATGAGGTAATTTATATTAAAGTATCTCAGAGAGATTTGGATCCTGAGAGATAACAACTCTGAACATGATGAAGAAGGATGGTGACAAATGAGGCTGAAAACAGCGGCCCGGGATGAAAGCAATCAGATTTTCATTGCTAACACAGCTGGACACTGTCTTTGTCCATCCTGGTAGGACTGTGTAGGTTCGTGTTTTTGGAAAGACTGAGCTAGAGAAACCTCTGAATTAAAGGGCATGCAGCCCTTGAAGGGTCAGATATGGAAAGAGGCTGATTAGTGAATTTCAACGTACTGGACAGTAAGGTTCTTTCCCCCCTCAGTCCAGTTCCCTTCTCTAACTTTAAGAAAGAGCTTGCTGGCAGACAGTTGACTCCCCACTGCCCTTTTACCTCTTCCAAGCAAGACGCTGTGACAACTTTATCTAGGGAGACTCCCCATTCCAAGAGAAAAACATAGATGCTGACATTTACAGGAACACAAATTTTGAAAATCCAACAAATTGCCCTGCTGTGAAATCTACCACTTAGTAAGTCCGGCACACTCACGTAGTGGTTTTGACCATCCAACCACCTGTTAATATTTTGTTTATAACTACAAATGATAAACACAGATTTTTGTCTGAGGCCAAAATAAACACTGAAAAATAGGAGAAAGTAAAGATAATGTGAAATATGAAAGAAAACCTTATTTCTTTGTTAATATGCTTAAAGAAAAAGAAAAACTCATTTCACTCCTGAAACAGTAACAGAATGCCATAAAAGATACATCCAGACACCTCAAAAGTCCCAAAAATTAAAATACAAGAGGTAAAAATATTAGTAGACTAGTTGGAAAATAGTGAAGGAACCCTTGCAGAAGGCAAAAGAAAAAGAAGCAATGGGAAAGGAAAGACACTTCTGAAAACTAAGAAATGACCACGAAGATCCAATACCCGAATAATTGATAGTGCAGAGAAAAAAAGATCAAACAGAAACAATTAGGGAGTGGAGAGAGCCTATTTAAAGAAATGACCTATAAAGTTAAAGACTTTATAAATTGGATGAACTCAGCAAGGGCCCAACGCGAAATGAAACACACACACATAAATTTATCATTGAAGTTTTAAAGCGCTAGGAGCAGACAAAAGATCCTTAAAAGCTCCCAGATAAAATTTTAAAAGCCACAGAAAAAGTGTGGAATACTAATACAGGAAATCCCTGTAGTATTAGAATTTCCAGCAGCAAACTGGAAAACCACAAACAATAGAGCAGTGTTTTCAAAATTCCAAAAGAAAATAATTTCTAAGCTAGAGTTCTACATTATCAACAAATGTGACTCTGGAAAAAGATACTTTCTAACTTGCAAAATCACCAAATATTTTACTCTCCTCTTCTCTCTTTCTTAGGCAACAATTAAAGGATTTATTCTATAGAACAAGAAAGAACACCAACAAAGAAGGCCAGGAAGCAAGGATACAACCAAGAAAAAAAGAAAATTTTCAGGATGGTGTAGATCTCAGAATAGAGTCATAAAAATAGCAATAAATATCTACTGGAATGAGAGGAGGCAGTTTCCAAGAGATGTTTACACACACACATGCCCACACAAATGATGGTGATAGGATCTTAATGCCTAATATTTTTAAAGATCTTGAGAGAGTAAGACTTCTGCAGAACAGTTGAGAAAGCATTAAGGTCAGATAGATAGATGATAGATAGATAGAGAGATGACAGGTAGATAGATCGATAGAGCAAAAGTGAGACAATAGTCAAACTCAAAGAAAAAAGTATAATACAAGGAAGGGAAATTTAATCATAACTTAATCACATGATTTAGCAGTGAATAATATTTTCAGAATTATAAAGATTCTCACCACAAAATATGATTATGTCATCACATTGCAGAGGAGAACGAGAAGTGTGTATGTGTATGTATATTGTAAAGTCAAATGAAAATATATAAAACTAAAAACAAAATGAAACATGACAGCTGCAATAAATAGTATATTCCATAGAAACATGTATGTAACTATCAAAAGAAACAGCTAGAAGGATTGAAAGTAGCTGCCTCTAGAAATCAGTGATAAGGAGTTAAGGAGGAGTAAGGGACTCAATTGTTATTAACAGCCTTTGTGACTGATGTAAATATATATATATATATATATATATATATAGCTTGTATATGGCATATATATCTATAGCTTTAAGAAAATAAATTATAAAATTTATTGATTATAAAAGTATTTTCATTACTACCATCTTATTCCTGAAAAGGTATTCATGTTCACACTTAGTTGTACATCAGCAATGGTAAGGCAGACTATTTTCCTTTTCACAAATACACATCTTAAAATAATCAAGGAACTCCTGCTGGCAGACTCAACACCTGCATAGATGGATCTCAAAAAGCTATTGTCAGAAGAGGTTTCAAAGGTTTTAAAAGAAATCTCCAGAAAATCTAAAGACCTGGATAAAGTAGAGTGCATTGTTCAACTCTGATTGTGTGCCAGCTTCATTAAGAAAACAAAATAAAAACCATAGGAGATAGGTACTGTTATTTTCTCACTTATACAGATTGAGAGAAGTAGAGTTGGAGAGGAAAACTATACTTGCCTAAAAAGTCTGTTAGGCCTTGTGTTTAGATGTTTCCCCAAAGCCTCATACAGTCATACCTGGGGTTTATTCCGAGGTGGCTGGATTTAGAATGACACTGGAATTGATTCATGATGCAGTGCTAGGATTAAGGGCACTAGGATTAAGGGTATAAGTGCTACCTGTCCTAAGGGACCTGGATAAGATATAAGTGATAGAAAAAGTTATGGTCATCCCTCTTTGCTTTGCTACCTAATGCCTGCCATGAACTGTTGCTTCCTAGGGTTGCTACCCTGCCTTGGAGCGAGCAGACTATGAACTGAAAACTCTACAAACTGTGAGCTAACTGAACCTTCCCTATTTTAACTTTGGCCATCGGGTGTTTCTGATATTTACATAGCACAAAGGTTACATACACTGGCTCAAGG